CCTTTATACCCGCATATCCTGAACAGAACGTCTATAACATGATCTTGCCTATTTAAAAAAAAATGCACAACAGGGAAGAACACACAGCCTCTGTTAATGAGAGTACATACTGATGGCAGGGTTACTACTACTACTACTACACTAACTAGACATATTACGATATTACTATTACTTAAATTACTATAACTTCCTTGTTTGTTGGACATAATTTTTATTTAGCAGTCAAATCAAGACCATGATCTAATCACACTATACTATTTCCTTCAATATTACTAAGTCTAGTAAGTCTGTATGCATGCAATTAAAACGATCACGACATAAAAAGAAGAGAAAAAACCATGTTCGCGGCAACTACTTTAAGAAAGGCCCTAACGATTAACAAGCCATTTGTCAATCTTAGCAGAACTTATGTTGGATCGCCTCCGCCTACTTTAGTACTTTACCTATGGTGAACCGAGTTCCCTCTGTCTGACTCACTCGAGGTTCAGTGGCACTTCTGCCCCTTTAGTATGCTCCCTTAGAACAATTCTGTGAGCTAATAAATTACTAAAACACTTGTAAAATATCCCTAAAAATCCAAATAAGAAACAGGTTCAATTTTAATGCTCAAATCCGTTGTCTAATTCGAGAGGAGCGACTCAATCGCGTTGCGCTTTCCAGATCCAGCCATCAACATCCGCCATCTTTCGGCAGCTGTCAGAGGTCAAGCTTGGACCAATAAAAATGATCTATCTTTAGGCTATCGGGTGGGTTCTCGTCTTGGTTTGGAAATCGTTTGTTCGTTCGTCCACAAGTGATGAGGACCACTCTTTCTTTCATCAGTCAAGAAACTGCAGTTGAATGTTTGAGTCCGGAGGTGGCTTTCAAGTCCATTACGTGCCCGGAAGAGTCTAGGACAATGAGGGCAGGGCAAAATGTCTGTAGACAAAGGGCCTGTTTGTCGGTTTGGAAATACATTTAACTTTAACTACTGTTACGTCATGGAAGTCTAGAGAGAACAATAATGGAGGGGTATATGCCTGGGAAGAGAGGAAGAGGAAGGCCAAGGAGAAGATGGGTGAAGGATGTGGCAGATGATCTCCAGATGGGTGTATCAGACGCAGGACATCTTGCTCAGGATAGGAAGGTTTTCCGGAGGGTTGTTATGGCAGCGAGGTTCCGCGAGGGACATGCTACTGAATGAATGAATGAACTGTTACATACTTCGTTTACAATAAAAGGGGGATTTGGGGTGGGGGGGGGGTGACACTTTGTGTTATGGCTTACAGCTAGGCTGTGATATCTGTGCCTTGCCTTTCGGTCCTACATATCTGATTGAGCAAATCAAGAGGATCTACTTCATTGCACCAGATTATTATTTTCCCAAATATGGGTCTATTTCTAGCGGCGTACCAAGAGTGTCGCACAAAGCTCGAACTCTATAGCTCTGGAGAAATGGATCCTCATAAAATTGGCACTGGTGAACCGATCGACGCAGCAGCTGAACGAATCTGCAACTTTTAGAGCGCGAGACAAACGGCTTAACCACTTCGCCACGAACTTTAGTAGACTGTTGCATCGTGCTTGTTTAAACGGCAGCAGGTCAAATCTTTTTCTGCCGAAAAAAATGGCGCCCCGCAATTCATAACGGGAAATTGGACTGCGTTAAAAGATCAAATAGTATATAATCCAGCTACTAGATGGTCGGTAGTCGATATCTGTTCTCTGCAAACGGGTCGCCCAATAATTTCTCAGTGAATATCACACAAAATGCCTTTCCCGGTCTCATTTCGAAACTAGTGAATACGCAATTTATCCTGGCAAAATCCAGAAACCCATACGTGCAGTAAGTGCATAAAGATTAGAAATGCCAACACAAACAATCCTTCACCAGAGCTGCTATTAATCATTCAGGACAAGCTGGCAAAACGACATCGCCAGACCTAACCAAGCCGACTTCCAACTAGTTCCTTGATATTAAAACCACAATGGGTACAGACAAAGGGTGCTCCACGCGAAATATGCAACTCACACTGTTGTACTAAGCACTGGACTCAGTAGCATTTGGCAATGAAACCGAGGACCCCTGTCCATATATAGAAACTGCGTTATCAAACCGTGGGTAGAAGTATAAAGGTAAGGTAAAGGTAAAGTCGGGAGATGTGAAGCAGCGTCATTGCACTCGGTTATAAAAGATAAGTGCTCTGCCACCAGTACGGACAGTTGATAGGAATTGTCCGCCTGTGTCGCCGTTCGCACGTAACTCTGTAGCTGCAGCGACGTTCCTCCATTTACCACAGACTCTGGTACCCATTTCCTAGAGGCTGGGTGAACCCCGGGAGCCGCCCGGTTTCGAAACGCCGACCGTGGGCTGCAGCTTGTCGCAGCTGGATTTGAAAGAGAGCTTCATATCGACTGTGCTAACGTGGAACAGTTCAAGGTCCTTATAGAATGTCGCTGTTATCACCCAAGGCAAAAAGCTACTACGTCCCTTTGCTATCTGTAAACTTTTACATCCAGTGTGCCCTCCGTGCTGGGCGGTCCCCGTCTCTTAGTGTGAGGTAAAAAGGGAAAGAGAGAAATCGGGATTCACAAACATTAAGCTGTAAATCCACTCACATGGTAACATTAATTAAAAAGGATAACATACTCATGGTACTCCTAAGTGGAACATCCTAATTCTGAGTTAATATGGGGGTGACTGCAGTCAAGCTAATACAAGGAATTCCAGAGAAATTTGACTAAAAAGATCAACAAAATAGGGAAGCAGAAAAACGGGCACAAAACAACACAACGTAACGTTTCGACCGAGCGGCCTTTTTCAAACATAAGTGAACTACCCAAACGTTGTGCTTTTTAGTCAAATTTCTCTGTAAGGCTGTATTGCTAAGTGTGAGATACTTCCCTCAAAATAACAACGAAAACGGAGGACCTTGAGACGTCATATAGCCACAGCTGTGTTGTCTGTTCTTGAATCAAACCAAATAGATACAGCTTGAGAATCCCTGTTCCAATTAGTACCATCACAGAAGTGCACATAACTCTGCGTCTGCTAGTTTCTTCCCTAAACAACATGGCTGCCATTCAACTTGAGAGACTGGGATGGTACGTTATAAATAAGAATTATTATACCAAACTTTATGTAGCCCATAATTTGAACAACATTATATGTGTATTATTGCTAACAATATTATAGGGGCGCTTCGCCACAAAGTGGTTACCCAGTTTGCTTTATACTCTGATTAAAAAATAGTTTCGATGTGGTTTGTTTCGATTTTCAATTTTGACAAAGAACCGACAAACCTTATGCCCCCTCCCCAAATATGCGCCTCCCAATAATTGCTTTGTGGACTGAACCTCCAACAATTGCCAGTTTGCAAAGGAGATGTATGTAGCGATGTACTGGCCGTCTTTTTGGGGGTATTTGTTTATGCACTTTATGTAATTTCACATATATTATTACATCTTGAAGTTTTAAGGGGGCTGAACACCTGCCCCTATTTTTTTATTTTTTTTTGTGGGCGCCTCTGGATCAATGTGCCAGATTCTTCTATCAAGCACAGCTAATCTGTCAGCATCTGTTTACAGATGAAATCTTTTGTTTTTTGCAAGCGTCAATGGCAACGAAAGAGCTGACAGATTGGCTGGATCCGCTATCACTACTGACGGTCAGCCTATGGATCATGCTGATATTGTTAATGCCCTCAGAGAAATGGGAAGGATAGAGGACTTTGGTGGCAGTGAATCCAGATCACTCGCCAGGATGGCAGACCTGGGAATTAAGATCGGCATAGCAAAAAAAGATACGCACACCAGAAGACTTGTTAATCAACATAGAACTGGTAGAACCATCGGACGTTGGGGTTCATACTGAGGGGAGGATCTCAGCACCTATGGACATGTCTGGAGTGCAATGATGATAACCCAACTAACTAACTAATCTGTTGGTTTTAAAACTACCTCATTTGTTTTCTGTTTGCCCCTGGTATTCTTTTATTTCTCTACAGAAATTAGTGTCTTATTCGCGTTCACCGGCAGTAAATTCTGGCAGAAAGTTCTTTATTTTCACCCACCTCCGGACTTTGGTCTTGTTCAAGAACCTGTGTGTTGCGTGTACATCCATTTTACACAGAGAAATTAGAATATTTCCAATGCATTATATGTTTTCCAGCTGATCTGCTATTATCAGGATTTCACATACATACAGCACATGGCTGGGAAACTTGGAGCACAGCAAAAAGAGAGGAAACCTTATTACACATTTTTTTAAACAGAGTCTTACGTGGAATCTTTAGACCCATCAAAGATGCAAGCATCGGGGAATGGAGAGTGAGAAGCAACAACGAAATTCATAATTTATTTAAATCACTATTGATCACTGGCATCATGAGGGCGGATAGACTGAAATGGCTGGGGCATATTGAAAGAATGTCATATGACAGAGAGGTAACTACTGTATACCCTAGAGAGCTGAAAGGTCATAGTTCAAGAAGCAGGCCAAGAAGACAGTGGAGAGATAATATACGGACGAGACCTGCGAGCGATTCGAGTCACTAACTGGAAATATATGACTAATCACAGAGATGAATGGAGATGGGAAATATCTGCAGCAATGAACCTCAAGCGTTTAGAAAGCTGAAGAAGAAAATACAGCAATATGGGATAAGTGGTTGATAAATAAACATTCTCCCCATGTGGGTTCCGGGGCCCCATTGTGGGGTAAACAAGAATAGACCCACTACCTACCCAAAAGCATTTCATAAGAGTCGACTAATTGAGAGCTTCCTTTGAAGCTGGAGTGCATCTGCCTGAGAGGCAAGGAACCAACAGTCTGCTTTCAAGTAAATCAGATCTGTAAAACTGATGCGCACACATCACTCAGGTTTTGCAGCAGAAGTGCAGTTCAGAAGTAGACGAACAACAAGAACTTTGTACTGGAGTTTACAGCTGGTGAATGCAAAGAAGAAGAAAAAACATTTCTTGAAAGTAATTTATTTTACCAAAACTTGTTTTACTTTCAGGCATCTATCGGGAGAATATAAAGCTAAATTAAGTAGTGGCGAGCCAGGAAATATTGATGACATAATCAAGACAACACTTGATGTAAGTAGTTGCAACAGTAATTGTACTTGTATCTGTCATTTCAGAAATGAGTTTCTCCTTTGTGTGTGTTACAGGGCCCCATTTCCTCATTTTGATAGACAGAAAAATAGATCTACTGCCCCCCCCCCCCCCCTTTTTTTTTTCCTTTTCAGCAAAAATATTGTAAAAGGTTAATTAGGGGTGTTTCCTTCAAAGTTGGGATGCATCTGCCTGAGAGACGAGGAGCCAACAATCTGCATACAAATAAGCCATGTCTGTAGAACAGATGTGCATGCAAAACTCAAGTTCTGGAATAAGACCAAAGACCAGAAGTGGACACAGTGTGAATGCTTAGAGGATGAATGAATGAGGTTTTACTTTATATTAAAAAATTATTCTCCTGTATGTATTTCAGGGCTCATAAGGTAAGCAAAGAATTGTAACTCAGGGCTTTTATTTCTGATGGTACGCAGTACCTGCACCTTTTTCAAACATCATTTTTTTTTTCAGCCCTACTGTGATAGACACTTTACAGTACATCAGCATATTTTATTAGACACTCTGTGATGGGTGTCAGCACCTTTTTTATTCTGCTTTCCTGGGAGTTTAAAGGCAGGTCAAGAAGAAAAATAGGGTTAAAAGGAGAGGTATAGATTGTTGAAGAAATGTGTCTGTAATTTAAATATTAGAACTGCTGTAATACTGTGGCTAAATGCTTGTCTTTTGTCTGCCAGCCTAAAAGTTTTGAGTTCAAATCTGCATCGAGCCAAAATTGTGTAATTGGCTTTGGTTCTTAGACTGAGCCTGAAACAGCTCACAGGTAATGTGCCAGGAAAACAAGGTGGCCAGATTAATGTTGACCAAGTAGTTCGTTGAATTCTGATTGGTCTGTGCTATAATTTTGGCTCTTTTTTTTTTCATCAGTTTCCCTGCGTATGTGTGTGTGTGTGTGTGTGCACGCACATGCGCACACAAGCGCATGTGCTTAAAAACTTACACATCCTCACACAGACACACACAAAAATATGAGCATGTGCACGCGCAGACACCCAGAGTACATTGGAAGTTGCATTATTCTTTCTTTTGTCCTACTATTTATGCCATAAAGAGTCGCAGAGATGAGTTAGACATATTGTTCTGTTTTTTACTAAAATGCTTAGATTGTGTTGATGTGTTTTCAATATTTAATGGAAATATTTGAGTTGCTTAGATTGTGTTGATGTGTTTTCAATATTTAATGGAAATATTTGAGTTGCTTAGATTGTGTTGATGTGTTTTCAATATTTAATGGAAATATTTGAGTTGCTTAGATTGTGTTGATGTAGATTGTGTTGATGTGTGAGTTTAGATGTTGATGTGTTTTTAATATTTAATGGAAATATTTCTTAGATTGTGTTTGATGTGTTTTCATATTTGGAATATTTGAGAGATTGTGTTGATAATATTATTGAGTTGCTTAGATTGTGTTGATGTGTTTTCAATATTTAATGGAAATATTTGAGTTGCTATTTAATGGAAATATTTGAGTGTTAGATTGTGTGTTTTCAATCATGGAAATATTTAATGGAATATATTATTTGAGTTGCTTGTGTTTTCAATATTTGATGGATTGTTGAGTTGTTGATGTGTTGATGTTTTTAATATTTAATGGAAATATTTGAGTTAGGAAAGCTAGATTGTGATGGAAATATTTTAGTTAGGAAACATGTGAACAATTTTACATATTTGTAAAATAAAGTAAAGGACCCTTTTACATGCCTTCAGGCGTATTGGGCATATAGGGCTACACCTGTATTTTATAGACCGAATGGCACTTGGTGGGTGATGTAGTCAGCATCACACCGGCCGCTTTTACTTCCCAGAACTGTACCTGGTACCAACTCGAGGCTGGGTCAACCTGGGAGCCAAGGTCATTTTTGCAAAATTTCTTACTCCTGTCAGAACCCAAAACCACAACCTACTTACATATTTGTAGAGTTTGAAAATCTTATGTTGATTGCCAGTTGATTGCTTACAATAACAAAAGAAAAACGAGAATAACTTTAAAATAAGTTATGTTATAATACAGACAGATTTGAAAGAAATTGGCGCTGCCTGGTTTGATAAGAATATCAACAATCATACAGTAAATCATGTAAGTATGAACAAGAAACCATTTCTCTCACCTCATGGGGTCTTTTATTTAGTTGATTCTCTTCTTTCTCTTCATGTTCACCGGCCGTAAACTCCATCAGAAAGTTCTACTTGATCATCCACTTCTTCTGGACTTCAGTCTGTTCCAGAACCTGAGCATGCACAACCGATTTAAAGATCTGTTAGTTCCTGGCCTGTCAGGCAGATGCAGTCCAACTTGTATGACATGTTTGTTACGGGCCAGTGGGTTTATTTTGGTGTTCCCCACAAGGGGGTCCCGGAACCCACCCATGGATTCAATACCACAACCCAGAGCCATCTCCACATCAACCTTTTGACCCCACAATGCCACTAATCCGGCATTGCCATTCATGACAAATTCCTGTATATGCCACAGACCCAGTATTGTTGCATTGGTCTGTCCCAGAGAAGCCTAGCTAATGGCATTGTTGGTTCTGTTTGCACCTGCACTGTGTTTAGCAGGTGAAGATATGATAATATTTACTAAAAATGGCATTGGTTGTTGCTTGTTGTACCCCACCAGGACATCACACAAGCGTTAAACACCCGGTGACACACAGTGCCACCATGCAGATGAGGATCACCCGTGGAGTGGTCCCAGAAACCCCTTTCAGCCGTTATGGCCACAATTGTGGCCTAGTTATATTCAGGGCCCCCGGCAAAAGCCAGGGTGGGGCTTCAAATAACGAAAAATTGCATCCCACAAGGGGACGGCAAAGTTATATAACATTGATTATTCTGATAAAATGGCATTTAAGCCATTATGATGACATAATTTGCCCTTAGCCTGACTGCTAGTATTTCACAAATAAATTTTTTTGTGTGGTTGTAATTTATTAGTAACCTGTCTGTGTTTGTTGCAGAGCACCATTGTAGGTGGATGGGGGGGGGGGGGGGGGGGGGGGGGTGGGGGGGGGGGGGGGGGGGGGGGGGGAGAGAGATCCACTGCCTCCTATGAAGCATGTTGTAAAATTCAACTAATTAGGAGTTTCCTTCCATGGTGGAGTGCACCAGCTTGAAAGGTGCGGGACCAACAGTCGGCATATAAATAAGTCAGATCTGTAAAGCAGATGTGCATGCATCAAGTTCTGAAATAATACGGAAGTCCAGAAGTGGACGAACAGCCAAAACATTCCGCTGTAGTTAGATTTTTCACAATAAAACTAAAATGTCTTTGCACTGGAACCCACAGAGGCATTGAAATAAAGGCAGACCACAAAAACACATGGAAAAGGGAGGCTAGATATGGGAGTCGCCGTGGCGGGGCGGCTAGGCGCTGGCTTGTGGATCGGAAGGTCGTGGGTTTGATCCCTGGCGGAGCTGGACTTTTTTCAAAAATGACCTTGGCTTCTAGGTCGACCCAGCCTTGAAGTAAAGGCGGCCGGCGTGATGCTGACCACATCACCCATCTTGTGGCAATTGGTCTTTAAAAATGTAGGTCTAGTCCTATATGCCCTAAAGGCTTAAAGGCATGGAAAAGGGTCTTTTTTACTTTGTTGTTGTTCATGTAACATATGTGCAACTCCCAGATTCATTCTGTATTCTGTAGGTTGTGGGACCTGTGGTTTTACAGCTAGAAGAACTGCACGATGTATCGTCACCAAAGAATGTTGATGTTGAATCGATGTTAACAGCAACCATCTGTCGCCTGTCTCTAAGTGATGGCCATATATCTTGCTCAGCAGTCACGTTAGAACCAATCAAGGGACTCAAGTTAGTCATGTGATTTTGTGTTACAATTGTGTTGAGTGTTTATTTACTTTGACTTTAAACTTTATTGTGGTATTTTAACAAGTGAATTAAAATACCATTCGGTCAGTTTTCACCTCACAAAGACAAATAGAGAAATCAACATGCAATATACCAAAGCAAATCATGTACTGGAACAACTAACGCCACTTTTGACACATAGGGTTATACCTTTGTCCACCAAACAACAACTATATTTTTTGGCAAGCTTTGTGCTACCAGTATCAAACATGGACACTTAATGTAAATTCCTATTTTCTTCTTTTGTCTTTTCACTGATACCAGGTTGTAGCCCAGTGTTGTGGTTTTCTGTATTTGTCTTGTGCCTCTCAGGTGGCTCGTGTGATGGATTTGTTCATCTTTTTTGCAGGTTTCAGCTACACCATTTATCCATCTCTTTCTTGGTCTTCCTCTCACCTTCCTCCCAGATTTTCTGCTAAAATAAAAGTATCAGTTTGGTCTGTCTGCATTCTCACCAGATGGCTGAACTATTTTATTCTTTGTCAATATTGTCCAGACATGGTCTTGTGCCAGCTTTCTTTCTAATGCTAGTAATCATAAACCTGTCTCTTCTTAGTGACCTTGAGGAGACAGCGCATTTCACATGTAGTTATTTTCTGTTCTAGTGCCCTATTCATTGTCCATGTTTGGCACTGATAACATAAAGTAGGCATAAAGATGCTTTTAATCATTTGCTGTTTTGCTGGAAGGGAGACATTTGGGTGTCTAAGCAGTTTACTGCAACTGTTGAGTGCAAGGTCATAACAGCAGAGATGAAAAGAGTTGCCGGAGTAACAAGAAAAGGTACAATGAAAAATTTAAAGACTAGGACTGAAACCATTCATACAGTTAATTAAAGATCAATAAATGAGATGGTTTGGCCATCTGACGAAAATGCCCTGGTACCAGCCGCCACAAAAAGCCATTCTGAAGAAATATCATGAGCACAGAGCAAGGGGAAGACCACCTAAAACATGGAATGACGGCATCAAGAACAACCTGAATGAAATGAATATCATTTTATTCAGCGCATTAGAAAAAGCACACACATGATCCTTACATCTTCCCCCAAAAGTTGGATGAAATAACTGCAGAATGAGAAGAATAATTAAAAGATGTGAAGATCAACACAGGGAAGGCTGAATTATTTAAATTTCACAGAGTACATATAGATAAAACAAAAGTGCCAAGTAACAACATGTAAATTATTCTGAAGACACACATATATGGTGAACATGCAGAAAATAGTCACTACAGTTTATTAGCCTATATAAAACCATAAAGTCACAGAAACTTCCAATGTATTCAGTCTTTTGACTACTACTGTAGCCTGTTCCAAATTAGATATTATATTATATTCCAATATTTCCTTCTTTGTAACCGTTATGTGAAAATTGTTGAAATGTGGCATGGGGCCTGTTAATAATCATGTAATGATAGGAAAATAATTACAATGTAAACAAATGTCTACTTTTTATGTTCCCTTGTTTGTGGTATATGAAACACGGACACAGACAGTTAGCATGTTTGCAGTATATAGCTTGAGGCAAAGTTGGTAAAACATCCGACTGCATGCATTTTGGAGGCAATCCGTTCGAGAAACTGTGGTGCATGTATTTTGGAGGCAATCCGTTTGAGAAACTGTGGTGCATGTATTTTGGAGGCAATCCGTTCGAGAAACTGTGGTGCATGTATTTTGGAGGCAATCCGTTCGAGAAACTGTGGTGCATGCATTTTGGAGGCAATCTGTTCGAGAAACTATGGTGCATGTATTTTGAATAATGAAGTGGATACTCATGTACTGCCAAAATGCTTGTTGATTGGCTCATAAAAAAATAGATGCTTTGTATCGGTAACTATATGGTGTGTTGTTTTTTATGGGTACACATCATTGCTGCTTTAAGAAAACAGCAGCCCCTGTGCAGTTGTAAAATTATGAAATCATAAGGACATGACAAATGTAAGACAATTTGCGAAATTTGTGTCTATGCCTACAGGACTTATCAAGATACTTATTGAAGTGTGAGCGCACGACTTTTGGAAAGGACTGTAGCTATATTTAGCCGCTACCAAAATGTAGCTGCCCCGTTATCCACATATGTTGCATTCGCCTGAATACAGCCCTGATAATAATGTAGGAAATTGTGCTATATTGTATCGTCTCAATAATATTTTTTTTTTCTATATTATATAAAACAAAATACCCTGTGTGGGTTCCGGGGTCCAATTGTGGGGAAAACAAGAATAGACCCGCTGCCTACCCAACAAGCATGTTGTAAGAGTCCACTAATTGGGGTCTTCCTTCAAAGTCGGAGTGCATCTGCCTGAGAGACAAAGAACCAACAGTCTGCATACAAATAAGATATGTAAAATGGATGCATATGCAAAACTCAGACCCTGGTACAAAGCCAAAGTCCAGGAATGGACCAACAACCAGGTCTTTCCGCCGCAGTTTTCAGCCGGTGAACACAAACAGTAACATAAAACAAAATATACCGGGATGGCTAACCCGGTCAACAAATGCCCGCAGAAGTCGGATGTGTTGGCCGAAAGGTGCAAATATCGCAGCCATGCTGTAAACGGACACAACGCAATTACATCTTCGGATGAATGCAGAAGAAAGAAACAAAATAATATATTTAGTAATGAGAGAATTATCCTTGTTGACACGTTTGTTCCTGAAGTGTGAGAACACCTCCTGGCAGTAAAGTACTTTTGTCCGGGAAAATTGAAGTGAACAGAAACTTCTTACTTCTTGCAAACAACAACATCAGCCTGCTTGGAGGGCAGGTTAATAGCCTGGTAGAGCCCGAGGAAGAAAAGAAGGTTTGAGCAATGTTAATGTTGTTCTGTTGTCATTTACATTGTAGAATATTAAAAAATTGCTGTGGCTGGTGAAGTTTGAATGCAATTTGTTTTGTTTTTCATGGCATAGTTGTTTTTTTTTTTTTTTAAATTTATTTAATGCTAACTTATATCCTGTTTTTTCTTCTTCTTCTCTTTTTTCTTCTTCTCCTTCTTTTTCTTCTTCTCCTCCTCCTTCTTCTTCTTGTTCTTTTTCTTCATCTTCTTCTCTTCTTCTTCTTCTCCTTCTGAATTTGCTCTTAAAATGATGGCTGGCACATCACATTTTAGTTTATTGCTACCCTGCAAAATATGAGCGTTTTAGCCTAGCCCTTATGATATGCTAATCAGGGTACTGAGGGTTCATTTTCCTCCTAAAAAATGGTGCCTCAAAACCCACACAGAGCTGACTTATATAATATCTTTGTTATTCCTACTCTGTCACAGTGAGGGTCTCTTTGGAAAAAGGAGTAGAGGTTGCATGTTGTTTTCTGCCTGATGTATTATCGTGGCCCTTGCAAGTGTATTTTTATCTCAAGCAACAGCTAAAAATGCATTGTGCCATATCAGGAGAGTTTGTAAACTGATGAACCAGAGTAATGTTGTGTTTGTACCAAGAAAATCTGAATAAGATGTGAAGAATGGGTAGGAACACTATCATGATAGAGCTGTCGACTTCCTGTTGCCTGTTGATGCAAGGTTTGCTTCATTTATCCCAACATGGCTGCTTGCAGTTTTTGGCTTTCCCCCAGACTGAAAATTCTTTTGAAAAAAAAAAAAAAAAGACTTGATATCAGTTACAAGCAAATATAAGGAAAGTATCTTCTTTTGTCCTCTTTTTCATTGCTCCTCAATTGGCAATGTTGGCATGTTGTTGTTGTGGTTCACACTTACGCTGCAATATCTGTGCTCTTCAGGCACCACACATCTGATTTTAGTAAAACCCTAATTACTCGCTTTTTATGACATGCTTGTTAGGGGGGGCAGAGGGTCTGTTTGGTCTGAACCCACGCAGAGTTGTGGAAGGTTGTGGCTGAACCATTCCCTTAAAGTCTTCCTGAGATGTTAATTGTGTGCACTACTGATGAGGGGAAAATTGTGTGCATTACCGATGAGGGGAAATTGTTTGCATTACTGATGAGGGGAAATTGTGTGCATTACTGATGAGGGGAAAATTGTGTGCATTACTGATGAGGGGAAATTGTGTGCATTACTGATGAGGGGAAAATTGTGTGCATTACTGATGAGGGGAAATTGTGTGCATTACTGATGAGGGGAAATTGTGTGCATTACTGATGAGGGGAAATTGTGTGCATTACTGATGAGTGGAAATTGTGTACATTACTAATCAGGATAAATTGTGTGCATAACTGGTGAGGGGAAATTGTGTGCATTACTGATGAGGGGAAATTGTGTGCATTACTAAGGAAGAAAAATTAAAGATGATTAGGGTTTCGAATCTCCAGATGAGTAAACTGTGGGTGGGTTTAAGTCATATTAAACAAACCATACACCCATCACTCACACACACATCACTTGCACACACCACACTCACACACACTACACACATATACACCATATATATGCCGCACACACGTGGTCACCAAAATGTATCTGCCTGCCAAAGAGGTGGGCTCAGGCCAGTCTCAGAAATCAGATTTTTTTATATTGCTATGACTCTGGGGGTTGACTCTGCCTCATGATAATGGGTACCTGACAGTTTTCAGAATTGTTGGTGAAATCCCTGTATGGGTTCCTGGACCCCATTTGGGGGTGGGGTGGTGGGGGGGGGGGGAGGGGGTGGGGGGGGGAGGACTCACAGCTCCCCTGTCATTAAAATGTTGACTAATTAAGGCTGTATCCTTCAAAGGCAGAGCACATCTGCCAAACCAACAGTCTGCATACTAAAAAATCAGATCTGTTAAATGGATGTGCATGCAAAATTCAAGTTCTGGAAATAGACCAAAGTCCAGAAATGGATGAACAACCATACATTTTCCAACAGGAGTTTACAGCCGGTGAATGCGAAGAAGAAGAATTGAGGAAAGAAAGACGAGAATGCAACTGGTCACCTCACCTCCTTTGTCATGGGCGACATAAGAATGTCGGGAAAAGATATCAAACCAAATGAAAAGCAGAAAGAGTCATCTTCATGATAACACAACTGACAAGTGAACCATGTGTCTAGAGAAGTGAACTGATTCCCTGGAAATGTGGATTTACTGAAGAATTTGTCATATTTTGTTGGAACAAAAACAGTCCAATACAAAGGTTCTGGAAAGTCTACAAATGAAAAAAAGAATCGCTGTAAGAAATTTAAGAAAAAAAGAGACAGTTGAACAATTTTGGCCACATTAAAGGACATAACGCAATTTTTTAAAAATCATACTGGAGGAAAAGGTCGAAGGCAAGAGAACAAGCAGTGGGCAACGATACAAGTGGGAGGATGGTGTCAAGAGATGGACAGGCAGCAGTCTGGGAGAGTGTACAACCAGGACAAGAGACAGAGCATGTTGGAGATCCATTGCAGCCAACCTTCACTGTGGAGATGGCACCTGATTGATTGATTGATACATAAATCTTCATTACCACAAATACAAACAAGGATACACAAAAATCACTTAACTGACATGTCTCTGATAGAATATCTGACACCTGTGTAGCCACTGGAAATAAATACTGGCCAGAAAAAGCTGTGAGAGATGAGAGCCGTAACTCAAAGATATTAGATAAAAAGGTGTTGGGTGTTATGTCTCCTAGGAGAAATGGCACCCATGGGATGGATATGGTAGTTCTAAAGAGTCTTACGGACTCTGTTATTAGAGTGGCTAGATCTGATGGTTCGTAACCTCCACGTCAAGAACACCAGTGCAGTAGTAGTAGTAAATTTTACCCCACCAGGACATCACACAAGCGATAAACACCCGATGACACAAAGGGCCACCATTTGGGTGAGGATCACCATGGAGAGGTCCCGGAAACCACATTTAGCCATTAGGCCATATTTATGGCCGGGCTATATTGCGGCCCCTGGCAAGAGCTAGGGTGGGTCTTCAAAATAACAAAAAATTGCTTCTTCCAAAGAGATAGCTATTTATCACGTTAAAACTGCACACCATGAGGCCCGCAGAAGACACGAAGCAACCCAAGGCATAACTGCAGCCATTACCACCAAATTGAGCAACGAGGTGGCTCAACTCAAAAGTGACATCCAAGCTCTCAGAGACGAGAAAGACGCATACAAAACCCAACGAGATGAAGACAGAGATGAAATAACAGGCCTGAGAGCTATAATGCAGGCGACTCTTGACACCCAGAAATGGATGACAGCAGAGATGACGAAATTCAAGGAGGACATCATGAATGCACTGGCCACTATCCAGACACAAAAGGAACAACCAACTAAAGCAATGGGAAGACGAGGCGGGCATCAATGATCTGCGAGATAACCAACAACTTCTCGCGAAAGAAGTCGCAAATGATCAAGAAGGCACTAGCTGAAACAGAGGAAAAGTTACGAAGAGCATACGAAGAAAACAACAGACTTAACAAGGAACTGCAAGCAACCAACAGAGTGATGGAAGAAAGAGAGAAAAGCACGGGAAAGAGGCAACAAGAAGGCAGCAAATACAGGGAGCCGAGACCCAGAAAAAACCACATCAAACACCAGATAAGCAAAACTCAGGCATCGCTGATGAAACAGTTTTCCGTTGGCAACAGTTGACCAAATAAACGAAACGCATCAGGGAGCTGGAAGACCCGAACTTCTTTAACTCAGATCTGCAAGATGATGACGTCTTTGGTCATCACCAGAGGAACCATATCGACAGCCAAAATTTGAAGTCAAACGAGGTCGACACCGTACCCCAAACACTAATACCAGATACAAACACAAACAAGGCCAAAATTACCGAAACCATATGTAGGAGCAGTACTTCACAACAAGGATACGAGAAAATCACCAAATAATACCAGACCTCAGCAGTATAGCCATCAGTACCTGCCCAAGTCAATCGACCGCCGGGTCCTTATTAGGATAAGGCAATTTACTTCCCCGGAAACAAAAAACAGCCAAGGAATACCACAATAAATCGATTCAACATCCAATCATCTTGAGCGCAGCACAGGGCCAGCCAGATTACAAAAACAACAGCAAGAGCGGAAACCACAACAAATAGAAAGTGACAATATTGAACACAATCCAGAATCAAATAAGATCGCGACCAGAAAACGTCACCACAAATATAGCTGAAAGGAAAGTGAGCAGAAATGTGAACGGACCTAGCTGAAAGTGGTCAAAGAAAGAGAATTTGAATATCCAATGCAGTCTTAGCTTTCACATATATACAAGGCTAACACTTCATATTTCAGTTATCTGCTGTGGCGCTTTATGTATATGACTAGTTAACTAGTATAATGTTTTACTTGTATCAGATGTGACTTTTTTTTTTCAACATTTTATGTGACAGAACCAAGAGAATCTAGTTAAAGAAACTGAACCAGTTGCAAATGGAGAGGGTGACAAAATAAATGGTGGAGAAGACAAAACAAATGGCAGAGAAGACAGATCAAATGGAGAAGACAAAACAAATGGTGGAGAAGACAAAACAAATGGTGGAGAAGACAAAACAAATGGCGGACAAGACACATTAAATGGTGAAGACAAAATAAATGGCGGAGACAAAACAAATGGTGGAGAAGATAAACAACCACCACCTTTTGTTCCCTTTGGACAGAAGATTTCAGATGAAATGCTGCTTTTGACAAAGAAAGGTACAGTTTATGAAACATATAGTACTGTAAAAAGAAAGATTTCTCTTTCTATACATTTAATACAATACTTGTCAAAGAAAGCTTGTTTTGTTATATGCATTTAGTACAGTACAGGTCTGTATAGTATAAAAGAAAGATTGTCTCTTCCTACACATTTAATACAATGCATGCCTATGTAGTGTAAAAGAAAGGTTGTCTTGTTATATACATTTGGTACAGTACAGCTCTGTATAGTGTAAAAGAAAGATTGTCTCTTCCTTTGCATTTAATTCTTTTTCTGCGTTCGATATCAGTCATGCTAAACATTGAGTCCCGTCTGGGTCACAAATAGGATTGTGCGTTTAAGGTCGCCACCGGTCCCCCATAGCTTCTCTTGCAATGTGGCTCCTTTGGGCCAGATCCACAGTCTTTGCTGGGAGAGGTAAGGGCAGTACTGCAGTATGTGTTCAGGGGTTTGTCTTTCTGCTCCACAATCACAGGCAGCAGATTCTTTTATGCCTATCCTGTACAAGTGTGCTCGAAGACCACAGTGTCCAGTCCGAAGTCTAAGAATTGATGTTTGTTCTTTCCTGTTGAGTTTGTTTATGCTGTCACTCTCTGGTCTGTAATCTCCATTCTGCCTTCTCCACTCCCGCTTGAAAGACTGCTTTAGCGCTGTTTTGGTTTCCTTGTAGCTGTGTGGTGGATGAGGTTGTGGAAGATTACTCCCAGCTTTTGCCAACTCATCTGCTCTCTCATTTCCTTGAATACCACAGTGGGCTGGTATCCACTGCAAGACCAGTTCTGCTTCCTTGGAGAGTAAGCCAATGTTGGTCCTTAGATCAGCAATTAGTTTGTCTTGTTTTTTGCTGGATAGTGCTTGGAGAACAGACAATGAGTCACTAAGTATAACAATTTGGTGCCCTCTGTGTTCTTGATTGATGAGATGTTGGACTGCAGAAAGAAGGGCAGTTGCCTCAGCTCTGAAGTTAGTGCAGATGTCACCTGCTGGTAGAGAGAGAGTTTCTGCTCTACTGCAAGGGGGTTTAATGTAAATTCCACAAACCCCCTTTCTGACTCCATCTGTAGCAGAGCCGTCAGAGAAAACCTGAGTCCAAGTGGTGTTTGGATACTTCTCATCAAGCATAGCAAGAGCCAGGGTTCTCTGTTGTGTCTCCGTCTGGGCATCTTTTGAAGTGATTCTGGTACCTTAGGGGACTACATTTGCTTTCTCTGGCTTGCTTGTCCATGGTTCTGGCCTAAGTTTTTCGCACAGTGCAACATCTCTTTCAAGCAGATCTTGGTGCTGTCTGTACAGTTCTCTAGCAAGGTGGTTGGGGGCTCTGACGCTTCAGTCTGTTTTTTGTTCTCTCTTGAAATTTAAAATGCAGTGGGTGACTTTGAAGTCTTTTAATTTCTCATACTGTAAAAGAGTTTTTGTATTGTCTTCTGAGTTCGAGTGGTTCAGTATCTGCTATCTTTTCTATTTCTCTGATGGGGGTGGTTTTCATGGCTCCGAGAACAATCCTTAATCCCATATTCCTGAACCCTTGTCCAGTTTCCCCATTGTTGTCTTGGCTGCTGCAGCCCATGCAGTGGAGGCATATTCCATGACTGGCCTGACTGCTCCAGTATATACTTGTTTTAGGATTCTAGAGTTAGCGCCCCATGTGGTACCCGCTAATTTTTTCATAACTGCAAGCTTCTTGAATGCTTTTCCCTGTACTGCTTCTACATGTGACTTCCAAGTTAGTCGCGAATCAAGTGTAACGCCCAGAAAGGTAGGAGTGTCAGTCTGTGGAATGAGCTGGTTTTTAATCCAAATTTCAATTTTTTCTTTTTTTGGGGAGAGAGAGAAAAGTGATGCTGTGCTTTTGGATTTATTTAGCTTTAGACCCCACTTTTCAGTCCAGGCTTCTACATTTTCCACAGTTTTTTGTAACAGATATGAGGCTGTGGTAGTGTATTCGGAGGCTGTCCAAACTGCAAAGTCATCGGCATGTAGGGTATTAAAAACGTGCTGGTGGCAGGTTGCTGTGATATCAATAATGTAAACCAGGAACAGAGTTGGTGATATAGCACTGCCCTGGGGAACTCCTTCTCTAAGTTTTGCCAGTTTGCCAATGTGTCCATCAATTCTGAATCTGGCTCTGCGTTGGAAAAGAAAGTCTTTGATCCACTTGTACATGTTGTGCACAACTCCTGCCTGTAGCAGTTTTAGTTGTAGGCCTTCTTTCCAAACTGTATCAAAAGCACGAGAGAGGTCAAAAAAGACAGCAAGAACTTTCTTTTTTTCCTGGAATTTGCATTTAATAAAATACATGTCTGTTTGGTATAAAAGAAAGATTTCTCTTCTTATACATTTAATACAATACTTGTCTGTTTGGTGTAAAAGAAAGATTTCTCTTCTTATACATTTAATACAATACTTGTCTGTTTGGTGTAAAAGAAAGATTTCTCTTCTTATACATTTAATACAATACATGTCTGTTTGGTATAAAAGAAAGATTTATCTTCTTATACATTTAATACAATACTTGTCTGTTTGGTGTAAAAGAAAGATTTCTCTTCTTATACATTTAATACAATACATGTCTGTTTGGTATAAAAGAAAGATTTCTCTTCTTATACATTTAATACAATACATGTCTGTTTGGTGTAAAAGAAAGATTTCTCTTCTTATACATTTAATACAATACATGTCTGTTTGGTGTAAAAGAAAGATTTCTCTTCTTATACATTTAATACAATACATGTCTGTTTGGTGTAAAAGAAAGATTTCTCTTCTTATACATTAAATACAATACATGTCTGTTTGGTGTAAAAGAAAGATTTCTCTTCCTATGCATTTAATACAATACATGTCTTCCCCGTGTGGGTTCCGGGGCCCTATTATAGGGAAAACAAGAATAGACCCACTGCCTACTGCATATCGTAAGAATTGACTAATTGGGAGCTTCCTTCGAAGTCGGAGTGCATCTGCCTGAGAGGCAAGGAATCAGCAGTCTGTCAAACGGATGCATACGCAACACTCAGGTTCTGGAACAGGACTGCAGTCCAGAAGTGGATGAACAACAGAACTTTCCGCCAGAGTTTACAGCTGGTGAACGCGAAGAAGAAGAAGAAGAAGAATACATGTCTGGTGTAAAAGAAAGATTATCTCGTCCTATACATTTAGTACAATACAGGTCTGTATAGTATAAAAGAAAGATTGTCTCGTCATGTACATTTAGTACAATACAATCCTATGTTGTCCTTTAGAGTGAACACGGCAGACATGCTGCATGAGCAACAGTACTGCCCAAGCCTTGTGCTATGGGAGAGGAGAAACTTCATCTGTGGCCTTAATTGGCTGTAATTTCCATGCCTCTCTGTAACATATAACACAATAGTTTGTCTTGGTTTTTTTTTTTTTTTTTAATTCGCTCTGTTATCTTGCCCGTTGAGTTTTCTAGTCAAAGTTTGTGCTGTATTTATTACTCTGTTGTCGAGACATTCGGTTGTGTTTTTGTGCATCTTTTGCATTCCCTTCATTGAGCTTTTTAGTAACAATTTGTGTTAAATTTAGCATTTCTTACAATCATCTCGACTGCAGTCACCCCTGTTTAAGTCATCACTCTCTGTAATACTATTATAACAGTATTATCTGGAGTTGAGTTGAGTTGATTCAAGAACAGATATCACAGCACTCAGGGCATTCCCATAAGCACTCTGTCCCCATCCTCAGTAGCCAGTGAAGAGTTCCGATACTAATGGTGCCAGTAGCATTCTGATTAAACATCCGTCTTGCCTTTCCTCTGAGCCTCGAGCATGGGTCAGAACCCCTCGTCACTCCCCGCTGCATCAATCTCACCAGACTGTGGTGATCCATCTGCTCCTCCGAACTGTACACGCTCTCCCACAAGGCACTAACAGTATCATCTGGAGAGATGGACAAGTGCTAACAAACAGCTTTGACTTCCAGATATTGTCCAGGTACCAATTTCTGGGTTGGTTAACTTGGGGGAAGCCTAGGTAAGTGGAAAAAATCGTTTTCCTCTTAGTTCTCCTGCTGAAAGTCCTGGTTGTTCGTCTGTTTAGACTTTGGCTTTGTGCCAGGGCCTGAGTTTTGCATGAACATACTGGCTGATTCGTGTGCATTTGATTGTTCCTTGCCGCTCAAGCAGATGCGCTCCGACTTTGAAGGAAGCGCCCAATTATTCGACTCCTATGACATGCTTGTTGGGGAGGCAGTGTTGATTTTGACAAAGATGTGAATCGAACCATTTAGAAAGCAACGGCAAACTGCTGAGTGTAAAATTGTGTAGTAAAACCACAAACAGTAGTGTTTTTGATATCCCAAAAAGAATATGCACCTAACCTTTGACCCCAGTGTTTCACTGTCATTTACATTCTTTACATGGCCAGGTAACTTCCAGTCTTTGAAAAAATCAAAGGAGAAAAAAATAACCGCAGAGGAAATTGAATTTCGAAAATTTAGAGAGGCAGCACTGGATGAAGCTTTGAAGGTCAAGGCTGTCAGAGACAGCCAGAGAGCTTTTAGAACCGGACAGTTTGTAAGTTCTTGTATCGTTTTATTGTTTAGGTATTCTTCCTCTTGTTCCTTCTTTTGTCTAGTCTGTGTTCTGCCTTTCAGCATCAGGTTTTCAAGAGGCATAAAGTGTGAGCCTCTGATATTGCATCTATTGGTTGATTGCATGGGCTCTGTTGTTTAGTTTTTAAAATAAATACATTTTGATTGTTGTTGTTTGAGTTCACCGGCTGTAAACCCCTGCAGAAAGACCTGGATGTTCGGCCATTTCTGGACTTTGGCTTTGTTCCAGGACCTGAATTTTGCATGTGCCTCTGATTTACAGATCTCGCTTGCAGATTTGTATACTGACTATTGGTTCCTTGCCTCTCAGGCAGATGCACTCTGACTTTGAAGGAAGCCCCCAGTTAGACAACTCTTATGATATGCTTGTTGGGGAGTTAGTGGGTATATTGGTGCTTTCTTAATATCCTACCCCAAACGGGAAATCCACAGGTTCACGGAACAGTCTTTTAACTATGTATTGTATCAGACTGTAATGTTGTCACATAGGGTTCGCAGTCAGTTTCTTCATTCTGTTCTGTGCTGTGCAGTTACTTTGATCGATATCATGGATGGAATCCAGTCCAGCGCACCTTTGGCCTCTCTCGTCAACATTTTGGGTTTCTCTTGGCTATTCTCGTTTCTTCAGTGACTTTATTTTCCCATTTCGGTGCCTTATTGGTGATGTTCTGCAAGTTTCTTCTCAGAATGTCTAGGTCTTTAAAAGTTGTTCTCATCATTCTTCTTTAAAACCACATCTCTGCAGCTTCCACGTAATTTCTCATTAATCTACTGACTGTAAAAAGTCAAGCCCCTTTTCCGTGCCAGGTGTATTGGACGTATAAAGGGCTGGACTTATATTGTATAGACCAATCGGCACTCAGTGGGTGATGAGGTCATCATCATGTCAGCCGCCTTTACTTCCCAATAAATCACCTAGTACCCACTTAAAGCCCGGGCATCCTGGGATCAAAGTCATTTTTTTTTTAAAGTCAAGCTCCATCAAGAGCTGAACCCAGGAACCTCTGATTCACACGCAGGCATCTAGCTGCGATACCACGGCTGCTCGCATACTGACTGTACAAAACCTTAGTTAGAGCAATGCTTTCCTGTTGTGAATTTTAAAAAGGAGGCAAACTCTATTGCACAATTTATTGCTTATCATATTTCGCTGTTTTAAAAATGGAATGGAGGAACAGACAGCAAGCACCCATGTTATGAATGAACAGCACCACCGGATGATGATGATATTTCACTGTTTCAAAAATTGAGTGGAGGAACAGACAGCAAGCACCCATGTGACGTATGAACGTCACCACAAGATGATGATGATATTTTACAGTTTCACAAATTGAGTGGAGGAACAGACAGCAAGCACCCATGTGACGTATGAATGGCACCACAGGATGATGATGATGATATTTTACTGTTTCACAAATGGAGTGGAGGAAACAGACAGCAAGCACCCATGTGATGTATGAACAGCACCACCGGATGATGATGATGATATTTTACTGTTTCACAAATGGAGTGGAGGAACAGACAGCAAGCACCCATGTGACGTATGAATGGCACCACAGAGTGATGATGATGATATTTCGCTGTATCATATCAGGTGCATTACTACAGAGTTAACATCCGTATATAATGTAATGTGTAAACATGTCATTAATCTTAGTCTTCCATGGTGATCATGTGGTTACTCCGAGACTTCCATTTATAAGATACAGTCATGTCCACTTAAGTCGGACTCGGATAAGTCGAATTTCGGTCAAGTCGACATGACCAGCTTAGTTCCGGCAATTTTCTCTATTGTGTGTGCTGTCTGGATAAGTAGAAGTCCTGATAAGTGGCAGCATTTTCTTAGGTCCCTGCGACTTTCACTTATCCAGACTGGACTGTATACAGTGTGAGCAGGCATTTACTTGAGTATTTCAATGAAAAGGATTCATATTTTGCTTTGTGCTTCATTGTACTGGATGTAAACTGTAGTGGGGTACCTGATGAAGGCAAAATATTTCAGACAATACATTTTGCAAAATGCTGTTTAGATCCTTATTATTTAGAGTAGAGTCCTAACCCTAACAACACCCTCCCAAAAAAGTCACATGATATTTCTTAAAATATTCTGTCTTTTTCATTGTAGGTGATTGATTATGGACATTTGAACTGGATAGTGAGCAAGGGATTTTCTCAAGAAGAAGCTTTTGTAGCTTTACAGTCATCTTTTGGCAATCCAAAGAGAGCGGTCAATAACCTATTTCTTGAGCGACAGAGAAACCATACAGATGGAAATGTAATTCAGCCAGGTGAGCTAAGAAATGTAAAATTATTTTTTTTTCAATTCCGTCACCTTATTACCTAAAGATCGGGGAAAGTAAAGCATTCACAATTTTAGGTGCTTTTCCAATATCTCCCCCCAGGATGAGGTCACAGGACAGTTCAATATTTTTTAGGCTGGTAAGAGCATGTTTCCCGGCTCTCTGATAATTTTAACTACCCCAAAACTTCTAGAACTCAGCCTGAGCCCAACTCGCCTACGTCCCGGAGGACAGCCTAAGTCCCACAACTGCATGCAACCTTGGTCCTACAACTGCATAAAGCCCATCTACCACCCCCTAAAATATTACCACCCCCTAAAATATTTGACTGTTTTGGGGGAGATATTGAGATAGAACAAAAATTAAAAAAAATTTGGGGAGGGTTGACATTTTTCAGATGTGAATTTGGACCCAGCACTTGTTAGTGCTAAAATGTACATATTAGAAGAGCATCTTTATATACAATGGTGGACTAGACAGAGAGACAGAAACAAGAATACAACAAATCAACAATGTTGCTTATCAACTTACCCCAGTCTTGCAACACCTGGCTATTGCAACCAAAGATTAAAGGGCAAATCATGAATGAAATCCTTATTCCAACTTTAGGTTACAAATCTCAGAGTTGGACATTAACCAAAGAATTGTGAAGAAAAAAAAACTAACCATATGTGAAATCAGCTGTATGAGAAAGCCTGTGAACAAAACCAGAAGAGATCTTGTGAGAAATGAAGAGATTAGAAGAAAGAACTATTGGAATAATACCTAAGGTTCAGTTCTAGAGAACAAAGACTGAACTGGTTCAGCTCCATGAAGAGTTGTGTCCTATCCAACGCCAGCATCTTTTCCTCACCACTTGGTCCACTGGAACTTGTTTAGCTGTCTTCTAAAGCTCCATATTAGTGATTCAGTTTTCCGTTTAATTTCCTATATTCAGTGCAGGTACCAGTTAATGTTTGTAGTTTGTTAGTTCTTCTTCTTCTTGTGTTCGCTTTCTGATTTACACCGACAGACAGGTTCTTGTGATAAACTTGACTGTTTTTATGAGTTCATTTTTAGTCCCATACAACTTTGTGTACAGTGATGACTCACTGGGCCAGTATTCCTTTCTTAATGGGCTGAACAAGGGAAGTCTTGCAGGACATGTTCTGTAGTCTGCACACACAGCCCACAAGGGCAAAAAGGTGAACTACTTAGACGAAGCCTGTGCATATGCTGGTTAAGTTTGTTATGTCCTGTCCTGAGACGTATGACAATGACCTGCCCATGCCAGTCAAGTAAGTGGTAGTCATCTTTGGCCAGGCTCTGTTCACTTCTAATAGCCTGGATGGCCCTTTTCTTCTCATAGTATGTTACTGCAAGTTTGTTAGTGATTACTTTAGTAGCTCTCCATGTTTCAGCCCCATACAGCAGGGCTTACTTTGTCTGTTGGCAAAATGGTTGGAACGCTGGGCTCTCTCATGTGGGAGACCTGGGTTCAGATTCTCAGGAAGATGGTGAAAATTATTTTCTGTTGGGAGCACAAATAAGAAATCCTAACCTGCTTAGTTTGTGGCAAATACATTAGCTGTGCAGTCTTTAAATCCTCAGTCTGAAAACTCCCCCCCTCCCCCCCCCCCCCCCCCCCCCCCCCTCCCACTGTCACCTTCCTCTTATGGTCCCTGCTGTGTGGTGTTGGTAGTCATGTTTGTCCACGTCATTCTGTCCGTGTACTTTCAGTCAGTTTTGTCACAGTTGATCTTCCATGCCATGATGACACACTGTCCAGCCTTGTCTCTCTGTCTCCCTCTGCCTCTTTTTCCCCCTCAACTGTTAAAGTGTACTCCGGTTTTCTCCTTCTCATGACATGACCAAAGATTGTAGAATGTCTCCGATATGAGCAGACAGTTCAGGGGTCAGTTTCTTTCAAGATATATTTATTGCTCATTTATCTGTTTAGGGCAGTCTCATCATCCCGCTGTAAAACTATATCTCCATCGGTTCCAGATAATTTTTCATTCATCATCCAAAAGTGATCAATACATGCAGTACATATTTTTTTTAACCAATACATTTTTTTTATTTTTTTCTATTAAACAGTAATTTGTAACATGTTTTTTATTCCAGACACACCTCAGGGACCTCCTCAGAATACTTTGTATTCACCAAATAACTATCATCCTCAAACTTTTCTACAAAATAGCCATATTCAAACTGGAAGTGTTGCTGGCAAGTACAGTGCCTGTTCTGAATCAAACCAGGGCTCTAAGAACCTAGACCAAGCAGAAATCCAGATTACAGGGGGTAAAACTAACTTCCAGGAGGGGTCTAACCAACAGGATGTAAAAACAGACAATGTTCAAGAAGATGCTGGTCAAAGCAAGCCAGTCAGTAACAATCATAGAGGTAGCTCCGATTGCCAGATAAGCCTGTCTAAGTCATGTCCAGGAGATTATAAGAGCAGCTCTGCTTATTTGGGAGCTGGAAATCGGCGAAATGACCAGACACCTCAAAATAGAGACTTTAACAACAGAGGTGGCAGATATGGGACGAACATGGGCCAGCCGCGTCCATTCTATAATAATTATAACAGATCTAATAATGAACAGATGCTCTACAGGACACCATATAGACAGCCATATGTTAACCCTCCATTTACGAGGCCGGTAAGTTGTAGTTAATTGTTGTTTTCATTCATTTGTTGTACAGTCCTCATTTCATATTGAGAGAATGTCAGATGACAGAGAAAACTGTATACACAAGGGAGATGAATGGTCATAGACCACGAGGCAGACCAAGAAGATGATAGAGAGATAATGTCCAGACAGACCTGCAAACACTTGCTGACACTAATTGGAAAGAGAGGGCCAACCAGAGAGATGATTGGAGGCGGGCTCGGAATGCTGAAGAAGAAGAAGTTTACTCGTTTCTTACAACCAGATGTTCTAGGTACCTCGTGGTTAGGTACTTTTGTGATAAATGTGAGTTTGAATCCCAACACTCCACATCCACATAAGAAACTGGTTTTGTGTCTGAGTTAATCTGATACCAGACAAGAGCCCTGGATATCTAAGAAAACCGCTGTGTTTTGGGCTTGTGTTGGCATCTGTGGCTTAGGCGTTGTTTTTGTCATTCATTCTCAGACCTATTCTTATTGAATTAATGTTCAGAAACCCTCATTGTTAATAATGTTTAAATTTACCCTCAAACACATGTTCTGTATGTAATTCATTGTCCTGTGTGGGTTCTGGGGCCTCATTGTGGTGGAAACAAGAATAGACCCTCGGCCTCCCCAACAAGGATGTCGTAGCAGTAGACCAAATAGGGGAATCCTTTGAAGTGGGAATATATCTGCCTGAGAGGAAAGGAACTAACAGTCTGCATACAGATAAGCCACATCTGTGAAATGGATGTGCATGCAACACTCAGGTTCTTGAACAAGATTAGGGTCCGGAGGTGGATGAACACCCAGAACTTTTTGCTGGGGGGTTTACAGCCAGTGAATACATAAAAAAAAATACATTATCATAAACTACTTTTTCGTTATTTTCGGGCAAATCTTTATAATTTATTTTTCAGACTCACCAGTACGGTGCCCCGATGACTGGCCCAGCTTCCCACACGCAGGCACCATTCTATAGATCCCCGCCAGCTGTCGGAGGATTCAACAACAGGGACTACGCACACAGAGACAACAGGGGTGGTGGCGATGCAGGAAGAGGTCATAGTTATCCTCCAGACAGGAGGTTCAGAAATAATTATATGTATGGACCAGAGAATGGTCATTTTGCACATGGAACCTACAACAATAGGATACCAGAAAATGGTAGTTTTGCACAAGGAACCTACAACAATAGGATACCAGAGAATGGTGGTTTTGCACAGGGAACCTACAATAGGACTTTTTCTCGAGGGGGTTACAGTAGTGGTAGAGGAACACCCTTCAACCAACCCAGGTCATCATAAGAATTTTAGGAGCTGAAAAAGAGAATACTGATCTTTGTAATCTTTATCATGTTGCAGATCCTTTGCAGAATGTCGCTCTCATCACGGTCTGCCTAAAAGAAACTCTGTCTAATTCCAGCTCTCCTGCCTCGCGCACTTTCATATCCAAGGAGTCGCTGAAATTATGCACCTATCTTCGTGTTGGTCAACCCCTGCCCCTCTTTGCTAGTACCATGCCTTCTGCTGTTATTTTTCAATTGTTTTTCCTTTCCGTCTTGGTATTTGATATGACCAAAATATTTCTGCTTCCGAGTCAAGATTCTGTTTATTAGTCAATCTTCCTTGATGATCAGATCTTTTAAAATGTCAGTATTTCATCCCTTCTTTGTCCATGGTATTCTGCCTGAGAGTCTTTCTATAGCATTTCATCTCCACAGTCTCTATTTTCATTCTTAACTTGGTAGTCTTCTCAATTAATTTTATGTAGAGAATCCATGTTTTTTTTTTTTTTTTAGCCAGTAGTACATGAGACAAATGATGCTGGACTAATATTTGAATAGACCGATCAGCCCTCAGTGGGCTACATGGTCAACAACAGGCCAGCCGCCTTTACTTTCCAGGACATTACCTGCTCCTGTTTTAGGCTGGGTTGACCTGGAAAGAACAGGGAATTTTTTTTTAATCCACCTTGATGTGGATTTGAACCCAAGACTCTCAGACTGGCAGGTGAGCATCTAGTCACTACACTGCAAAAATGCATGTACATAATCAGTATTTGTATATATTCTGCCGTCTTCTTGATGAACACAAAACTCAACTTCTAAAGCACAACTAAAGTCCAAAAGAGAACTAACAAACAACAAAAACATTTCGCCAGTGAACATGAAGATTTCCCTTCTTTTTTGTTTCCTGGTCGGCATCCGTGGCTTAGGCATTGTGAACGCGCTTCATAATGCCGGGGTGCCAGGTTCGATTCCAAATACAGACAGTGTGTTTTCGCCTTGCGTTGGTTTCGACAGTGGTATTTGGAGCCGACCGTTGAGAAAGCAATGGCAAACTACTGAACGTAATATTTGCCTTAGGCTGGTGTTGTTTCTGCAAGGTCCTGTAAAGGATAGCAACTAACTTTACTTCACCAGCCATAAGCTCCACCAGAAATTTCTGGTTGTTCGTCCATTTGAAGTTTGGCTTTGTGCTAGAGCCTGAGTTTTGCATGTACATCCGTTTTTATTGGCTTATTTGTGTACAGTTGGTTGGTTGTTCCTTGCCATTGAGGCAGATGCACTCTGACTTCGAAGAAAGTCCCCAATTAGTCGACTCCTTCAACCTGATTATTGAGAAGGCAGGGGTCTTTTCTTATTTTCCCTACAATGGGTCCGGAACTGACATAGGGAATTTCCCAGATAACAGATCCTCAGTTAACACACGCTAGACACTTTCAGAACTTGTTTACAATTGGTTGGATTTTACAGTCAAAGTCTTCTCCTTGTCAGGGTTCACCGGCTGTAAACTCTGGTGGAAAATTCTGGTTGTTCATCCACTTCTGAACTTTAATCTTGTTCCAGGACTGGAGTTTTATGTGCACATATGTTTTACAGATCTGGCTTATTTGTATGCAGACTGTTGATTCCTCACCTCTCGGGCAGATAAACTCTGACCTTAAAGGGAAACACCCTAATTAGTCCACTTTTGTGAGAACTGTTTGAGGGCCAGTGGTTCTATTCTCTTTTTGCACCCCAAACCCATACTGGGACAACTTGTTTTCTACAAGATGAGGTAGCCAGTTCCACACCAGCCTTCCTGAGAGGCCTCTTATGACATGCATGGTAGAATGCATTCTTGGCTTAAGCTATGGTTCCCAATAACATATTGGCAATATTTGTAAGTAAACAATTATATTTATAAATAAACTTTTCATTACCAGCTGTGTGGTATAGTCTTAACTCTTTGAGTCCCAAGGAACGCATCATACGTTCATAGATTCCTACCTAGAGGCCCAATGAACGCATGATGCGCCGATTTTACGTCTCTCTTGACTACCCCTCGGGCCTGAGATGCTAAACCCCCTGGGACTCAAAGAGTTAATTATTATTTATCTAACACTGTTTTCGTTAAGGAAGTGTTTCAGGGTCAGCTGTTTTCATGATTTAGAACACTTAATGAATTTTTACTGCATTTTGTGTCTCTTGTTACTCTTTTATGTGGGTGGCTGATTGTGCTGGGAATGGTGTTTACTTATTCAGTAGACATTAGTTAGTCTTCACTGCAGATGAGTTGTCCCATAAATGCTGTGTTTCTGGGCCAGTGGAAATCACACAAAAATGTTCACCACTGCCCCTTTGAAGACTAATAGAAAAAACATGTCAAGCTGAGCAAAATCTTGAGTGTAATGCATAAGGCAGCTGTTAGATGTGCCAACACCAACAGTCCCATGCCAGAATTGAAGCTCATGTTTGTTGCATGCAGACAGTTATGAAAGCTGACATTGTACACACAATACTGTATGGATAAGTATGAGGGCTAGGCAAAAGATGGTCCCCTCATTTTGTTTTCACACTCTGTGAATTCCAAAGAAAATACTGTGAGTTATGCTAGCGATAGCTTTTGTCAATGTATGATTTATCTAGCAACATTACACATCTTATTCGTAACATAGAAGGGTTGAGCTAGATAAGGCTTGTTTTGATTTTGTGAAATGTGTGTGCCATAATATTGAGTGCTATTAATTCAGTTATATACATTGTGCCATTTAATGTTGCTAGTTTTAGCTTATGTTGTTAAATTAGTTTACTAGAATGTTGTATAAGTATGTTTGCTTTTGTTATTGGTTTACCTGAATGTTGCATGCTAAGTTTTTTTGCTTACCTAGCTATATTGGGTTGCTAGAATGTTGAATGATAAGTTTTTGGCTTCTGCTGTTTTATTGGTTTGCTAGAATAGTTTGATATGTGTGTTTGCTTTTGTTGTTTATTAGAATGTTGTATATGCTAAGTTTGTGCTTCTGTTAAATTGGTTTGCTAGAATGTGTGTGTTTGCTTTCGTTTTGGTTTATTAGAATGTTGTATGCAAAGTTTTTGCCTCTGTTATATTGGTTTGCTAGAATGTTGGGTGATAAGTGTTTGTTTTTGTTCTCAGTTTATTAGAATATTTTATACATTTTTGCTTGTTTTATTGGTTTGCTAGAATGTTGGATGATACGTGTTTGTTTTTGTTCTCGGTTTATTATAATGTTGTATGCCAAGTTTTTGCTTCTGTTGTTATATTGGTTTGCTCGAATGGTGTATGCTAGTTTACTACACTGGTAATCAATGTTTTATGTAGGCAGTAATTTCATATGCCTATCAAAGGGTAATTTTTGGGATTCAGGGATTGGGCATTACAGCTTCCATGATGCCTATGGCAGAGAATGGAGAGAACAATGAAATTCACAACAAAATTCATAACTTGTTTAAACCACCACTGGAATAATGAGGGCTAATAGACTACAGTGGTTCGGGCATATAGAAAAAAATGACAAATCAAGAAGACGGTAGAGAAAATATCTCCTTCAGCTGTAAACCATGGCGGAAAGTTCAGAGTGCTCATCCACCTCTATTTGTTCCAGAACCTGAGTGCTGCGTGCACATCCGTTTCACAGATCTGGTTTGTTTGTATGCAGACTCGTGGTTTCTCACCTCTCAGGCAGATGCACTCCGACCTCAGTAGAAAACACCCCCAGTTAATCAAGGTTACAACATGCTTGTTAGGGGACAGTGGTCCTATTCCCCCCCCCCCCCCCCCTCCCTACTTTTCCCAAAGTGGAGGCCAAAGAACCCACATGGCAAACCTCAAAATATGAATGAGCATTAAATATACTATTATCACCCTTGTCTGACATAATCCCAATGTGGGTTGATGGAAAGGGGGCAGGGTGGAATAGATCCACAGCTTCCAACAACAAAAAGGTGGCTAAATAGGGTTTTGCTGAAATCTGATGTGCTGAGCTGAAAGGCACAGATATGTCAGCCTAGCTGTAAACCACAACACAACAAGCCAAGTGCTCTTTTAAAGGCAAATGCAGAATATTGAGAAGACCTTATGATACAAGACATAAAGGCAGCTCCAGTTAACTTGTGCCTTTATGAATTGTCACATTGCGGTTTTGTGTGCGTGGTCAGAAATTCTACTTACATATAATCGGTTGTGCAATTATTGCTTTTTTAAATATTGTCTCTAGGAGTATTCTTATACTTCACTCAAATAAAAAGTAGCTCGTTTTTATAAGAGCTTTCTGTTTCCTTTCTATATTATACCATTGGGAGAAGTGGAGTGACAGTTGCATGAGTGGTTTAAAAATAACGTGACTGGACCTTTCCTTTGATAGTTCCCATTCTCAGCTTTCATTTTGACTCCCTGACTCATATTTTATGTGACAGACTCCATGTCTCATGACCAATATGTTGACAGCATGAACTTTTGTGTGACAATTTTATGACATTCTCTGTGACAAGCTCCATGTTTCACAATGTTCCATTTGACCATTTGACTACCTTTCTGGTGATCTTTCTTTCAACAAACTCTTATTCTCCTCCATAGTAGTCATCATCATCATCATGTGTCGACTGGCATGAGTAATGATGCCACTACACAATCTGCAATTTTTAACAGTATGTATCAGTTCGTGTGCTGGAGTTTCTTCTGTTGTCTGTCTTTATCTCTTTTTCACTGATCTTTCCTGTGGTCACAGGTTCCAGTTAAGCTGAGTCAAGAATTGACACCACAGCACTCGGGGCAATCCCATGTGTGCTCTGTCCCATCTTCAGCAGCCAGCACAGAGTTTCAGTATTGATGGTACCGGTCACAATCTAGTTATATGTCCATCTTGTCTTTCCTCTGAGTGTAGTGAGCCGGCCAGACCCTCTGGTTACACCCAGGTGCCTCATTCTCTCCAGGCCATAATCTTGTTTTTAATGCTTTGTTCCCAAAGGGGCTTGACATGTGATCACATGTTCCAGTTTCCTCTTACTCATAACATGTCCAAG